AAGTAAATTACAATAATAGTTATACTATATATGGATCTATGTGAAGGGTTAAAAATGGCTAGCTTGTTGGACCACTTAAAAGAAAAAAACACAGAAGTAATTTGCATAATCCAGTCTTGAATTATATGCCGTATTCATACCTATGTATAGCTACAATCTGACTTAAAAGCTAAAAATAAATACCTTATTTTATATTTATTGCTACTAATGTAAAATTTAATTATTACATGTGAAGTCATAGGAACAATAGTTTTCTGCAAGTTCCACAAATCTAGGTCTTAAAGCTGATTCTTATCCAACCATCTGTGTACATAAAAAGATGCTACACTTTTTTTTTTTTTTAAGAATATATTTAGCATCAGGCAGAAGAAATCACTACATGGTAAGTATTTTGGTAAAACTAAAATTTGAATACAAACGTACGGATCACTTCAGAAAGAGAGACCCCTGAACTTTATACCTCGTAAAAAATAAGAAACCAAATGGTTCTCCTCAGTATTTTCTCATATCAGTTCTATTTCTTTTGTATCTCCACCAAAAACGTACTGTTACAATTCAATTCTGTGACAACATCTTAGGTTATGATAATCACAGTCTGAGTGTCCTGATGTTATCACAAGCAGCATTCCCTGAAGTTGAGGGTTATCAAGCTATGAATAACAAGGAGACAAGTTTGCACCATATACTGTGCAAACTCCACTAAGAAAAGAAGGATTTATCTTACAGCCATCGCATTCTTTTTTTATTCTATCTCCTTCAAAAGTCAGTATCATGATACTCCATTGTCCTAGCGAAAAAAGCCTGGATGGCTTTACCTTTTAAGTTTATTACTGACTGAGCTAAGGTATTCCCAGCTTTTGTTTTCCTTCAAATAAGCTATATAAAAAACATTTGCTGTAGCTAATTAACAAAAAAGGAAGTTGTTATATAGTTGTCAACTATTTGATAGTAAAAAAAAAAAAAACAAAACACCAAACTATCTACTGCATCCTATTCCAGTTTTCCTGTAGATTTAAACCAGCTCAATATGATCTGGATGAATAGCAGGAAACAAAGAAATGAATGATGTTTAAGGGATCTGTTTTGAAAACTGCTAGGCAAAATTTATTGTTGTCTTTTCAATACAATTTTAATAACCCATACCAGTTACCAAAACCAAAAAGACATTCTTATCGTCAGGCAGACAAAGGATTCATAATTATGGGTTTTAATCTTAAGTTTACACTTAAGTTTACAACCTGAAAAGATAAATTCAAACTGAAGTGCCATATTCCTCATCTCTCTTTTGGTTTTACTGCCTTGTTAAACAAGTTTATTTTGCATGCGTGTTGCAGTGTTTTTCAGATATCAATGCTGACGGAAGATTTGCACAAACAGTAGCACTTTTCTTGTATCTTTTGCATGTAGCAAAAGTCAGCCTTGATCTAATCCTGATTTCTGAGATCAGGGAACTAAGGATAAGGATTTAACCATGAGAACATTTAGCACCTTCACATCTGCGGAATTTTTTCCGTAGGACCTTCCAATCCCATTTTAGCTACTGCCACAGGGCATTAAAACCCAACATCTTAGGTTTAAAGTCTGATACAGAGATTTTTATCTTCCTACTGTCTTAAATTCTGAAAGTTTTAGAAGATGTTCTAAAGCAAATTTGAAATGGATCAGGGAACAAGGAGCAGCAGAATGATAGTTTCTTAGCAGGTATGTGTTGCCCTGAGGGCAAGCTAGACAAAATGGAGGTTTTTTAAAAAAGTCACATTCATGACCCAATGCCAAACCTGGGTGGTATGTATTACAACAGGCCAGCCTGGAGATGAGGAAAGCATGGATCCCTATAGTCATGTTTTCATCTAAAAGGACAAAAAGTAATTTCCTATGTGAGGGAAGAAGGAATAGACTTTATTAAGCTGTTTCAATTTGAACTGGAGGCCTATGCACAATCTTTGTAATTGGAAGCAAAGTGCTTGCAATTCATTCCCACTTTTTTCTTTTCAGCATGTGCACTGTAGCAATGCTGTGGACAATTGCCTATCAACTAGGAAGCAGGAAACAATGCATGGGTTAATGTAAAGGGGGCAGGTTTAAATATTAAAGGATGGCTTACAGCATGTGTATTTTGCACACTTTCATGTTTCATGTAGTCCTGATACCTTAATACATTTCTTCAAATACAATCTCGCCAAAGACACACAAAACCACCAGCATTTTAGGAGGACAATTTCTGTATATCATTAAGGACTTGCTTGGGATTGGATTTGCAAAGCCCTGGGCAAGCACATTTGTAAGAAGATAGAGGAAGAAGTGCCAGTCAAGCCAAATCTTCCATAAAACTAAACCAGTTCAATTTGAGAGAGATATCAGTTATGCTTGGTTTAAACAGAAGTGGGTTGGATCATTCAAGGAATCAGAGATTTATGCAAAGAATCCTGACTTGCATATGCAGATCAAGATGGCATCCTTTCATTATAAAATATGCAGTTGTACTTGTTACGTGGCAAGACATAAAACTGTGTGATTAAATAAAACTGCAATTAAAGCATTGTGAAAAAAAGTTATTCTATAATTAGAAAATGTGAGGATATGAATGTTATCAGCAGTAATTAAAGATTAACTGCATTGTTCACTGACTAAACTTACAGCTAGTGCCTTATTTAAACTGCTTTTAATTTATTCTAAATACAAAACTTCATAAAGATCTGAACTGAAGCATCACTTAAAAAACACACACAGCAAGTGACTTATTTTTTCAGAGCCAAGAGAAATACATGCCTATGCCTGGACCATGAGTAGCTCTAGCTTTCTGGAACCAAAAGCTCAGGTATGTATTTTTTCTCCTGTTACTGTCAGAAACAATAAGTTAGCAAGGAAAAAAGGAAAATTAAAACCAGTATGGATCCGAAAGTGAAAGCTGGTATTGCACATAAAAGACCCAGAATATTTACAAAAACATTTCTACTTGCATCCTACTTTGTCGAGTAAAACACAGATTACCTTTTATCCTCAATTGCTTTTTTTTATAATACACAACAGATAAGCCTTTTGAATACCACAAATTTTTTTCATTGCTATCATTCTGAATTCAGACTGTGGAATGGATCAGAGGACATACTGCTATAAATCCAGCAAATGTACTGGCAAAAACCGCAACTGGGATAAATCACTTCAGTCCCCACTTCTTGTCAGAATGGTGGTCATGGGTTGACAAGATACAAGTCAAACTGAAAATAGCCATAGTCACAGTTTACAATGGTTAACTTAATGAAAGCCACTTCTTTGTATATCTACTGCAGGCATCCAGCCTTTGAAAGCCTTAAGCGCCATACCTCTCATATCATAAAGATGCATATACTGAGCCTTTTGCTGAACTAGGAAAATTAGGCTAAGCCACAGAATATGGGGAACAGCCCAATATGCTGAAATAGAGATAATGACAAGAAAAATTGATCCACTTCGGACTTAGAGTGAAAATGCTTAAAAAAAGAATGCAAAGCGGGTGACAAATGGGATAAATCCAAGTGCGCGCTGAGAAGGAAGTTGAGGATGTTAAGGAAGGAAATGACTCATTCTCTGTGTTTGTGTATAGCAAAGGCTGAGTAATACAAGGTTGCCTGGTGCCATACACCTTTATGCTCATTTTGGATCACTCCAGTGAAAAACCCCAATTTTCTTATGTTCCCCTCACCACAAGGTGGCACATATGTACTCCCTATGATTTTTAACTGCCTCTACAGTTTACTTCATTTTTAAGAAGTAACTGTTATCCATTTCTACAGAGAGGAAGGAGTGGGGGTGGGATAAAAGCAGTGAATGATAAACTGCATTATATTATCAAGTATACACAACCAAAGGTAAGTAAACTATTCTTAGTATGTGGATTAATTCCAAACTTTCCTTGTTACTATTATTTACTACAGGGTCTGAGGTGCATTCACATCAACAGTGTGGAAATTAAACAGGATAAGGAGTTATTGAAAACTAATCTTCAGTATGTTTTACAAATACATTCACCAGAAGCTCAACAGAATTTAAGGGTGAAATGGAACATGGACTTTGGATAGCAGACTGGTGCCAAAGATGGAAATAAGCATACAGAAGCAGAAACCCAGGCATATCTACCCATTATTTTGATTCTCTATATTTTAAGCCTGCTGGTCACTCATTGGTTGGTGTGCCCTGCCCACAGCAGGGGGTTGGACTAGATGACCTTTAAAGATCCCTTCCAACCCAAACTATTCTATGATTCTATGCTTCTATGCAGTATAAGGGGTTTTTTTGCATTGCTGCCACTTTTTATTCTCGTGTTGTGAGTTTCAAGAACTAATAACTACTTATGCTTAGAAGGCTGTTCCCTAGTAGTAATTTTTCCTTCATGCTGATAAAGGTTGTGTTTGAATATCAGACTTTGAAACATCCAAATATACATTCTCATTTTCACCTAGTGGCTGATCAAATAAAAATCTCAGTGATCTTCTGTGCAGTTGTTCCTCTTTTCAAGTCCATGATATAAAAATATACTGCATGATCTATAATGGCCACAGCACACACTTCTCCATTGTACATAATGGACCCACATGTTTCATATATCCATCAGAAAGGCACTAGGCAGACAATGAATCCACCAAACTGCAGAAGAGATTTGAAAGCAAACCGAGATAAGCGTGTGAGTACAAAAGACAGGAGGAGGACTTTTTTTAACGACAGAAAAATACTGACCTAAATCAAAGCACAGAAACACTAGCTAGCATGCAAAGCAATTCTATCCACACACCACAGAATATATGTTTTTAGAAAGTAGATTCTTGGAGATTTAAAGTATAAACTATGTACATAGCTCCCTCTGATGACCATTGGACACGATACAATGCAAGTCTCCTTTTATTTTTGTTCGTGCATTCAACTGACAGCTGACTGGTTAAATTCTAATTGCTTCCAAGTGAGGTCAGCAAAGGTATTTATCGAAAAGGACTGAACAACAGGCTCAACTCACACATGCACGCGCACGCATAAGCACATACACACCATCTCTCCAGCGTGTTGATTTATGGAAACAATTATAATTCTGGTGGAGTCTTTCTGAGCTGAGAAAGTTTGTAGCTACAGTAGAGTGTCTCATGTTGCAAAAAGCAGACAACAGAAATGGAATACTTGGGTATCCAGCTCTTATCAACAGGAACAAGTAAGTTATCTGTCCTTTACAAGAACATTCAACAGTTTCTAATAGCTAATAACTTTTATCTTCATTTGTATATGCTAGATGCTAAAAAAGCATTAAGAAAACTATTTCTATTAAAAAAATGAAAAGGGTAGGAATAAAAATACAGGGCTAAGACTATGAGGTCTGTTTTGAAATTTGAACTAGAAAAAAAAGTTATCTGATAGATTGTGCTAATAGTGAATATATAGGTATGAAGTAATCAGCAGAATTTTACCATGCATGAGAAAGTAGTTCAACTGAATCAATAAGGGATTTTTGGAAGGACTTAAAACTGAAGACAGAACTATATTTACAATCAGTTTAAATGTCTGTTTATGTAAAAAGTTGTGTGAGATATCTCTATTGTATATACATTTGCATATTTTTTAAAATCAGCTTAGCATGTCATACATTTATGTATAGTACTTTTCATAATGTATCCTTGCACGTTTGTAACAATTGAGCATAAATACTTATACATGCACCTTTTCTCACAGATCTTTTACTTTCAGTGCAAGCAGCAAATTCAAGTAGTACAGAAGGTCACGACAACAAAGGTTTTTATAACTTGTGTCTTTAAAGGATATTCTGACTGAAGGGATATTTAAGAAGCTCTTCTATTTCGCCATTAACTATTAAGGAATAACGATCAGAATTCTAGAAGAGGGAACAATCCCATTTAAATGAATCTGTAACTCGTAAAGACAGAAGGCAGGTCGGTGACCTAAGAGCAACAGTCTACTTGAGATTTAGTTTTCATTATGTTGTTCATGAACACCCAGAACACTGCACTATAATGCACAAATGGATACTGACATGGATCCTGCCAATTTTGCTCTACAGATCATACTTTTACATTATCTTTCTAATGGGCACTATATCTTTAGCTTGCAATGACATGACTCCAGAGCAAATGGCTACAAATGTGAACTGTTCCAGCCCTGAGCGACATACCAGAAGCTATGATTATATGGAAGGGGGGGATGTAAGAGTGAGAAGACTTTTCTGTCGAACTCAGTGGTATATGAGGATTGATAAGCGAGGCAAAGTAAAAGGGACAAGAGAAGCAAACAACAACTACAGTAAGTAATATTTTTGCTTTTCCTATTTCTAAGTTTTTAGAAATTCATACATCATTGTTTCCTATTCCTTCATTTATAGTAATTTCAAAAGAATTTTGTATAGTGTACTGACCATTGTATAAGACAAGTTTTGCAATTAATCCTACAGCACGACATTTGTTATTGATTTTGAAATGCGTCATTTTAAATACTACATTGTAGATCTGCTAATGTATTAGTTACAGCTGGTAACTATTAGCAAACAGAGAGCCTATTTTAACAAGTGAATTAAGGTTGTAAGTATGAAAATGTATAACCACAAACTCTGCTCATAAAATACTTATGAAACATTAAACCACATTTATATAGTCCACAAACTACCTAAAAGTTTGGTGTGTTTGAGTTAACAATTAAAACATATGCAATACTAGAAAGTTCAATGGAAAGAATTATGTAAACTCTCTTGCAAAATCTTTTAGATAGTTTGCCAAGCCAGGAACAAAATCTATTCTAGTTTCTGCAGTTCATTATTACAATGATCATGATGCTGAAAAAATATTCTCTCCCCTTTCTTCCAAAAACATGACTCATCTAGAGAGAATGGACATATAATATTTTGCAAAGCTGTACCAAATACATTTTTTGAACTGGCAAAAGAATTGTTGTACTAATCTGTATTTTTCACACAAATACCTATATATCTTCCATTTACACTTGAAGGCATCAATTTTGCAGTCACTATTTTTGCCACTTTGGTGTTCATGTTATTACAAATATACTGTTTATTTAGAGAAATATGACATCTACTTGAAAAGACATTACTTTATTAAGATACAACAGGAAAATACATAGGATTATATTGCATATTTCAAAACAAAATTGTAAGGAAAAGAGGCCAGGGACATGCTGGTCTAGTGTTTATAGTCAACTGAAAGGATAAATATATTTCCAAGGATGCTATTAAATACAGTTTTAATGTAGGTTGTACATATTATTGTGCTTTTTGTAACAGCAGCAGCAAAAGAAATCAATTAATCAAATTTCAAGAACTATTAGTGTGATTCAGCTTTGAACTGAAGTTGACTGCTTATTTCCTATGAGAACAGCACTTTTGCATGCTAAGCGCCTGGCTAGCAGGCTTCATAATTTATTTCTTTACTTCATGACTACATTAAGTGCTTGGCAACTTTCGTGGTTAAAACTTCATTGACTAATGTTACTGTTTCTTTTAAAATTTGTTTCCATATGTCTCCTTTCTTCCTACACTATTACGTAGTGAACAACCATATTCCTCTGAAAGACAACACATGGCCAGCAGCCAAATAAATTATTTGGTCCATATTCAGGAAGACTCCCAGTGAGTTTCAGGAGGACATTGCTACAATAGAGATCCATAGGGCTAGTTTCAAAGTGAAACGTTGCTCCCATAAAAATCACTGGGAAAAACTGTTACTGACTGTTGAAATAGTTTCTTCTAAATTTTTGCAGATAAGCGAATACCCACTGTACCCAATTTTTTCTGTTATTATTTACAAACACTTTAAAGAGATTATGACAGCATATAGAGCTGAATAATTATATAAATTTGCTTTTCTTAGTCCCACAACGCTTAAGTGATTTAGCATTAGTAATTTAGCATTATTTCAAATTCAAGTAAAGGTTCTCGATTCTCTGCAGGATCCCATGCTGCTGAAGCACACTAATGACACCCTGAAACCTTCTGTAGTGAAACCATTAGAGCATATCAGGTCATCTTGTGCTAAAGGCAATCCATTTTCTTGTAGTTTTCTGAACACTTTATGAATATTTAGTGATGGTAACTAACGATTACAAATTACAGAAAGGCAACCTTTGGTCGTTAAACCCTTGCATTTATACTGCAGTGAAAAAAAATTTGAATTCTTTTTCTGGTAAATGCAACAAATATTAGGAGAAAAAACAATCAATACTTGAATGGTTTATCTGGAAACTGATGTGCGCTATGATGAACTGTCTCCACGAAATTTAATAAGTGTGTGGGAAGTCTCCCACCATCTTAAGTCTCTTGCTGTAGTTTATCTATTGTATACTAGGAAATAATATCCAAATGCTTTTGTTGGACAAATAGAATAGGGAAATATAGACAAAGAGGACTGGAAAAATGTGAACACTGATAACTTGGATTTTCTGAGAAACTCAAAAAATTAGTATTGTGAAAAACTACTTTTTTGTCATACCCTCTATTCAACAGAATATGTAAGAAGTCTTTTTGAAGATATATTTATGGCTCTATATTAAAATACCTATGAAGAAAATAATATGATATGAGGGGAAAAAACAAAACCCCCCAAAAAACCCCACCTGGACTAATACACCTTCCCTAAGCAAAATTTTTAACATTAGAAGACTAAACAGGCTATTTTTATCCAGGGTCTCTGAAAAGCATCATTTTAAAATCATACCCATTTCAAAGATGTATTAATCTGAGTGTTCAAATATTCTTGTTCTATGATTTCCAGTTCTGAAAGTTAGTAAAAGGTAAATCAGACCTGTTTCTCAGGATGGAATCCGAGAACAGTTGCAGCCAAATTAAATCAATGGGTATGAAAAGTGTTGCTCCGAGAAGTATCTTATTTGATCCTAATTTTCCACTTACATAATAAATAAAAGGAATCCTTTCCCCTTTTGAATCACTAACGCGTGCTACTAACATGAAAACAAGAAAAAATTCATATTTTTAACTATCATAACTTAGCTTCATAAAGGAAGCTGCATTGTCAGTTTTGCAGACAGAATCAACTACTTGTTTTCTGCCCATGAATTGTGAAGCATGAATAATGTGAAGAGCAATCTTCACATTGAGAAATGTCTGTAGAATAACTTCATCATAACTTTGGCAAGAGCCAAAATTCACAGAGCTTCTCTCATCAGTCGAGACTATAAATCTAAGAATGCCAAGACAGTGAAGAATTAGGGTCTTTGTATTTCAAACTTCTCTAGTAAGTTACAGAATAAAATATATATATACATCCTATGAAAATAACAGCAAAAAATATCCTAAGATTTTAATTCAAAAGCCACTGTATTAAATGTATGTGGATTGAAATTCCATGACAAAATTAAATACTGAACCAAATCTTCACTCACCAATTGTAATTAATCTGTATTTATCACTCACTTGTTTCAAAACACATTAGAAGTTAACTGCTTAGTCCAAGAAATACACGTGCACTGTTTCAGTGAGAGCAAATTATTGAATCCTGTTTACAATAGTGATGACCTTCTTAGGTACCTGAAGAATATTATTCTGAGCACGCTTCAGAAAGCAGTAGAGCCTTCTGGTGGACACAAAGGTGATAACTCAAGAGTAAACTAAGCAAATCAGAGTACAGTGATCTTCACTAAACAGAGGAAATCAGTTTGCACCTGACAGCTTTGCTTTCATTCTGAAAACTAAAAGGCAGAGTGAGAACTGAGAGTCACATACTGAAAAACTAAAGCAAGAATTAGGAAGCAGCCAAGAGATGAGGTCACCCAGAAAAATCCGTCATTATTCAGAAAAATTTTTCTCTTTGACAATCACTTATTATACCTTGTCCAAGCCTAAACTATATGCTTTTTATTAAGAAATAACTTTTTTATCTTGTTCATGTAAAATAATCTAAATAGGCACACAAAGCAGACTTTTTGAATTCATGATTGTAAAAAGTGAGAGCGACTGAACAAATCTTGGAGAAAATATGGCAATTCGTTAACTCTTCATCTTTCATAGAAAATAAATCTCTCCTTATTACTGCTTACTCCTCCTTTCATTTTAGTTTGTGTTTATGAATTTTGCCAGATTTTATTTGATTTTGTTCAGAAAAAAAGGCAGCAAAAATCAGAGTTTATTTTGACTCTATCCAAGAGGATTTACAACTATGACTGGATGATGCTTTAGGACTTTCCACGCTCTGTTGCCTTTGGAATCTCATTTTAAAGACTTCAAAGGGTCTCTTAGTTACTAGAAAAGCCTTCCCGGAACCTGAATCCTAAGATGTCTGATCCTATCATATTCCATGTGTGCTCTAAACCCAGAAAGTGCCTATTTCCTCTTCTTTTCAGTGGATAAAGGAACCAAAAAAGGTAAAAAAAAAAAAGAAAAGATAGTCTAGTGGGATCTTGGCACAAAATGGCTGAAATCTTGATTAAAATTTTTATCTTGGAAAACTACTTCTATTTTGAACAAAATCCAACAAATCATAGTTTTCAGCAATATTAAATGAACTCACTTTTGTTCAAACCTAAACCCTAAATGATGACAAAATACACTTTATACACATCTTAGTGGTTAAATACTCAAACTTGCTCAGAAATCAAAATTATTTCCAACAGCATTTTATATATGCTTCTTAGGGTAAAACAAATGTTGGACTATGTATGCTGTTTTTTTTTTTAATTCTGTTGCTTAAATAGATATTACGTAGAGGAGCAAGAAGATTCAGTATCTGAAAATGAGATATTTCAAGGCAGGTATTGATGTACCAGATTCAGTTAAGGGTTATGTGTGTTCCAACCAAACAGAAAGTCTTCACAACTGCATTCTTGACTTTTTCAAGAGGTTGTTGGTTCAGCCAATACGTTGACATCAGGAGAAGACAAACCTTCACTAATGTGAAAGTGCTTTTGCTTCACTTCAGTACTCTGGTAATCTTTTCAATCATAACACACAGAGATTTAATTTAAATGGCAATATATGTGTATCCTCTCAAAACACCCTACAGTGCCAAATTGATGACTTTTTCTCCTACAGTGATTAATCAGATCTAAATATAACAGTTTTCCTGCTCCCTCTCTAGCTCTTTGTCTAGCACTGGTGGCACATACCACCTCTCAAGTTTCAACCAGCAGAAGAGACTCTATGCCTATACCTTAGCACAAATCCCAGCTTTTCACCATCAACTGCTGATGGAGATGGGTTTTAGTAAAGATGCAGATAACAGAAGCAGCTGAGTTATGCCTGTCTTACGGCTTCTGTTGACTTTTCCGATAAGAGTACCCTT